GGAAAGATTCTCTTCCACTGATTCAATGAGCCTCACCCTGGACTTTAAGCCCCACTTTAGTTTCAAGAGATCTAGAAACCTCGAAAAAACACACTTCTACTCTAAGATGAATCCTGGGCTGGGAGAATTTGCGACCTTTGGAAATTGAAAGTTTACTTCCAAACAATCAATTAAGAAGGCCAGGAAACTCTATTCAGGGACCTCATTAGCATTGCTTAGTAGAAATTAAAATGAATGTCCAAAAGATTTTTTTAGAATTGCAAGAATGTTAAAGACAGCGTAAACATCAGTGGGAAAATTACTTAATAAGGGAGTGAGCATGCTGAATATATTTGCATTTTGAGAATGCAAAGCATTTCCTGAAATTAGCATCAAACTTGAAATAGCAAGATAAGCACGTATCAAACAGACCATGAGGGGAAGCCGTGGAGAGAGGGCTGTAGCTCTCTCCAGCAGCCTGTGCACCTTCCTCCTACCTGGGGATACAGGAAGTCACCAGGGGTGAGAGCTGCCTGGGGCAAGGTGACAAAGTGAGCTAATAAAATAGAAATAAAGGACTCTCCCTTGCCTCTGAATCATGAATTTATCATATGATTATGGGGAGAAAGAGGAAGGGTATGATTCGTTTTTTAATTTTTTCCTGAAATATACTAATCAGCATGTACATAAGGTCACTCATTTATTCAATGGCTGCAAATGTCTAACGCCTACAGCAATTGCCACCTCTCTGCCTTCATCTTGTAAGACCCCTCCCGCTTGAACTCCTGCCATCAGACCCTGGGAGGATGCCCTGTCTTCTTCCTGCTCACAGCTGTCACCCGGTGTCCTGGCCCCTCCCCATGCACTGGGCCTCAACACCTGCTCACTGCACCTGCTCACTGCCTCCTCTGCACCCACAGGCCCTGACCTCCTGCCTCCAGGCACTTTTCTTCTCTCCATGGTGGCAGTCCTGTCCGGCTGTCAGAGCCTGTGTGTGGCCCAGGACGGCTTCGGTCCTGAAGTGAGTACTCACACACTACTTGAACAGCAACTACCTGCCAACTGACTCTCATAATCGATGCAAGAGTTCTCCAGCCTCATCAAAATTTCCAATCCTTCAATCTCACAACTTTTCTCAGCTAGTGCAGGTCATCTGGTGTTTATTTTCTTCATTATCTTTCTTCACTGACTCTCATAATCGATGCAAGAGTTCTCCAGCCTCATCAAAATTTCCAATCCTTCATTCTCACAACTTTTCTCAGCTAGTGCAGGTCATCTGGTGTTTATTTTCTTCATTATCTTTCTTAAGTCCGTGATCAGTATATGATTGCTTCCTTATAATTAAGCTCAAGTTCCTTGGCCACTCTTAGTCCACTGTAGTTATTTTACTAAACTTTGAATCCTAGAGGAGCCCAACCATCCACCATCTTCATGCCCAGGTAGGTGCAACTGAGCGCTGTTACAGAGAAAGAAACCCCAGCGGGACAGACCTGAACTATGGGAATTCATGACGGCCTGTGCATTAGTCCATTTTTGTTGCTTATAATAAAATACCTGAAATGGGGTAATTTATAAAGAAAAACGATATTTATTGCTTACAGTTTCTGAGGCTCAGAAGTCCAAAGTCCATATGGTGGTGACGACAGTGACCGAGGGGTCTCACATTGCAAGATGGTGGAAGCAGAGAGAGCAGAGAGAGAAAGACAGACTCTCCTCTTCTTTTAAAGCCCTCAGAACCACGCCCTGACCACCATTATTAATCCATTCACTACTGCACGGTCCTACAATCCCATCACCTCTTCAAGGCTCCACCTTTCAATTTCCATAATAGGATTTCCCACCCTCTTAACCGTCACAGTGGGGGTCAAGTTTCTAATACGTAAAACGTGGGGGACACAATTCAAGCTTCAATCAGTTTTGTGGGGACATAATTCAACGCACTACAGCCTGTCTTTAAATGGCCTGGACACCCCCCTTCACTACATGCATCTCTTGAGCTCATCTGGCCACTCCCGTCAGTGTCCGGTCTGTACAGTCTCCTTTTTATTCCAGCCTCCCGCTTTATGGCCATTCCACTTTCCCAGGAGCAGCAGGCACTGTTGCCACGAAACTCTCAGGAAAATAAAATGTGTCAGTCAGGAATCCCCTCAGTGTCTCCAAGGGGGTGGATCTATAAATTTTAAAAGAATACTCTCACTCCTAATAAAACAGAGGATGCATAATTCTTCTGTTAAAAGTGGCTAATATTTCTAGGGCCTCTACTCTATGCCAGGCTCTGATCTGCACTTGATTTATTTTATCTTATTAAATCATCACAACGGTAGTTAGACATTTTTATTATTTTTAACTCTGGAGGAAACTACGGTGCAGGTGAATGAAATAACCCATTCAGACCGAACAGCAGAGGATCTCCGGCTGGAAGGGCAGTCGGCACTGTCCTCGCCTTGGGGTCTGTGCCTTGAGCCCTGCACTGAAGGCAGAGAAGATGTGCTCATCTTCTGTTCACTACCTCCAGACAGTGCATTTCACTCTGGACACCCACTTAGCTTGTCACACAGGGGACTAAGGACAACAGTAGGGATGGCACAGCCCAAATCCATGCCCACTCAGCAACAGTGCTCAGAGAGCGTGTCCTCCTCGGGGACAGCAGGAGCTCTCCCAGACCCTGGGCAGCAGACAGGAAGAAAGTGAGAAGCAAGTATTTAGCTGCATCATATCTGTCCAGAGACAACAAAAATTCTAAGCATCTCGGCAAACTCTCAAAGTCTAAAAGAATTCTGAGAGTTGTAACTCTAAGTGAGGACTAGATAGGGAGCCGTCTCTGAGGGATAGAGGGAGAGAGCTGCCAACATTTCCGATAAAGCCAGGCCCTCTGCTCACTAAGCTGGAGTTCAGGGCTTCCCACAGGGCCCCAAGTAGGAGGAATGGAGCCTCCTTTTTTGTGACCAATTCCTTCTCAGATCTTGATAGTAATCAAAAATGTAGACTAAAGAAGGGTAGGAGACATTAAAAACTAGAAGCAGGAAGTCTGGCAAACTAGAATCGTGGCCTGGTGGCTTGGTGACTCTGAGGTCATCCCGGTAACACCTGCCCCAGGAGTCCAGAGAGGTTGTGTGACTGTCCAAGGATGCACGCTTTGAGTGCTAGGCCAGTTCTGGGATGTCGGACCCCCAGCCCACCCTCACAGCCCCTACTTGAGGTTTCCTTGAGGACTCTGCTGTGCGTGCCTGTCTTATTCTCCTGTGCTGTATGGAAACGGGGCTCGCTCCACGTGGAGGAAGATGCTCACAAAAGCAGCTGGGCACATTTCATCTCGATTTTATGGTCATTGACCATTGCTGCTCCCTGGTAAATCAACCCCTGAGAAACAAAAGTGGCTGTCGATAAAACTGCGCAATGCCAAGGACTGATACGATAACCTTTCACTCACCCGGAACAGGTGTTATATTATTATTTAATATAATATAATTATTATATAATTGATGTTATATAACAAGCTATATAGTAAATTATAATATAATTAATTAATTACATAATTATAATATTATAGTATTATAATATAGTATTATGTATAGGAGGAGACATTTGGAAAGAATACCTGTTTTTCAATGTTGCTTAGAATATATTATCCAGGAAGGCAAAGGACTCTCCTCTTCTGACACTTATCAGCCAGAATGGGACTTCACCTTCTATTCTCACCCTCCCTGGACAGGTCAGCATGTTGGAGGTGG